CACACACCTCACGATCATCGCTTAGCATTACAAGTTTAAGTCTAGAAATAAATCCTTATTCCTAGTTCGTTTAAACTAATGCTCTGATACCAACTGTGACATCCCCAAATTCATGGTCATTTTAAAAATTTTATTTATGTTTATTTGAAAATCAGAGTATTTATTTTAAAGAACAATATTGCAGAATTTGTTCCCAGAAAAACATGATAAATATGTTATCAAAGCATTTATGAAGAAATGGATTTTATTCATTTTAAAACTTTGGGATGTCATCATCAATACAAAAACATAAGCATAAACAGACCTTACATTCATTTACACTATTAATCTATATCTCCTTAATCTCTCCGTGTAGTGTGGCTTTATATCGACATATGTGATACAAATAAACTGAGTGGGTCAGGTTGGGAAACCTGGTGAGTACGTAGGGTTTTCAACCCATAATAATATAGTTATTATGTTTCATCATCAAACAGTTAACCCATTTACCCATCCCCATTATCTTCTTTATTCTTAAGTATCTTCTCTATGAATCGTCTATCCCTCATTATTTATTCCTAAGGATTGTCCTAAGGAATAGGCATAAAGTCCATCGTTGTCAGGGTTTATATAACAGACACTAAGTCCATAGCTTCCAGGTTTTATCTCATTTATCGACAATATTATTTTTCGGGAGTCCACCCGCAATACATGTCAATGGGTTTTTAGAGTACATCTGATGAACATATCGTTCACACACCTACAGGTTGTGAGCCTGCTAGTGTTCCACCGAACTGTCTAGAATAGTCCGTGGTTGTCATCTATACTCTTCCAGATGACGGGGCCATCGCTTAGGTCATCGCTTGGCTCATTGCTTCTCACCATATTTTACCACTCATATATCATCGTTCATCATTCATCTGATCTTTCATCGCTCATCATTTATCTCATCTTTAATCTACCAATCTTTTACCCATCATAATTATAGGTATAAAATACATATACAGTTTAAAACAATTAAAACATGTATATTTTTGTTCATCCAGCATAAATATTAAGTACATAGATAATATGCACACATAACACGTAATTTATAGTAAATACTTCATATCTATGTGTAAGATGAAAGTAACTATGCACTCACTTGTCAAAGTGATGATTCCAAACTCGGGCAGCGCTTCGCTTCTAACGATTCTATTTTCCTTCGACGAAACCTAGCATTATTATTGCTAAGTTTTAGTCTAATCTTTATTGCGACTAATTACTAGTTTGGATTCATCATTATCACAAAATCTACTTTCATGATCTATCAAGTAAGGAACAACCAGGTAGGATCATATCGGAGGTAGGGTCCGTTTGGTATACGAAGTATACTGTTTGGAAATCCCACTTTAAACACCTCACTAAATCACAACCTAGACATCATCCCCGTAAGTAGATCAATTAGTATAACGACTTGGAATCACTAATAAATCTTGTTTATAAGTTCATAATAACGATAATGAACTTAAACATAAGTTATACTTAAAGTAGGGTAAGCATAACTCACTTATCGGGGGGGGGGGGGGGGGGTTTGGCTAGGAACCAGGCTCTGTGGGGGCGGAACTTTTGAGCTGAAAGCTCTTCTTCTCAGAGCCTTCTGGCGCTCCGGGACTCGCCTCTAACACCTAGGAGGTGCTAGAGAATGGAAGAGAGGGTTTGGGGGTAATGAGAGAGAAAGAAGTTGAAAGGTGTGAGTTTTGGGGGTGTTCTATGCCTCTATTTATAGGCTGTCTGGGGTTTCTCACGTCGTGAGCCTTGCGTAGGCACCAAGGCGAAGCCTGGTGCTGACACGTGGCGCCGGACGCAGGTAAAACAACCAATCTTTAAAAATTCATAACTTTCGCATACGAGCTCCGTTTTTTTATGTTCTTTATATCCACGTGTAGGTAATGACAAGATCTATGACTTTCCTTTTGACTCCATTGGCTAATTCTCGACCGATTTTAAATTTAACAGTATGAAAAAATTACACTGTTAAACGACCGTGTAAAATTATAACTTCTACATACGAACTCCTTTTTCGTATGTATTTTTATCGTTGAAATCTTATTAATGAGATATTCAATTCTCATTAAGGTTGCATCGGCTAAAAATCGATCGATCTAAAATTCGAATTCCGGGTTGCGCACTGCTATGCTAAATCATAGAAAAATCATAACTTCCTCATACGAAGTCAGATTTGGACGTTCTTTTTATGAACGCTCTTGGTTTAACCACAACTTTCGTTTAGATTGCTAAGGATAAAAAGTAATTTATCAAAAATTCACTTTTTACGTTACGCGGTGCAGTGCCGGTTTAGCCGTAAAACTTCGACGGGACATAGCTTCTTCGTTATAACTCGGATTTCGGCGTTCTTTATATGTACGAAACCCTTATGACATATACTATAACTTGGTTAAGATTATTCATTATAAATAATATTCTATCAAAAAATCATTTTTGATGCTTATTGTCTATAACTTAACTAGCCCGAATCTGCGGGGGTTATAATAGCCGAACCGATTGAGATCTTTTGTGATAACGAGGGTGCGGTTGCTTTAGCAAAAGAACATTGAGATCACAATCGCACAAGACATATACAGAGAAAGTTCCATTATATAAGGAAGCTAGTTGAAGACGGAGACATCATTGTGAGCAGAGTACCATCAGAAGATAATCCAGTTGATCCGCTCACCAAACCATTATCTCAAATCAAGAATGATGCTCATACTAATTTTATTGACATTAGATTTGCTAGTGAATTGGTTTGATTACATAATTTGTAGTTTGATCATATTGAATGATTTAGATATTTTGATTTGGTGATTATTAATAATATGTTGCTATGTTACATCATATTATCTGTGTTCCTTCTTTTGCATGTTTAGAACTACTTCCACAATAATTTTTTATTCAAACTTCCACAATCAGTCCTACTCTTAGAAGATAGTAGTGATTTAAGATTGTTTTGGAGTATTGGTAGATTGTTCATAGAGATGAACATAGCTAAGTCTTGTGACCAATACTAATGAGTACTTGCAAATAGAGATTTTAAGTACTAGAGCAACCACACTTAAAGATTACTTCATAGATCATGTCATGAGTAAATTAAGAGGATTATACTTCTTATTTTTAAATGGAGATGCATGAGGTTTTTTTTTCTCCAATCTGTTGTGTCTTTGTTTTTCCCCAACGTTGTCCGTAACTGGAAGTTATACAGGGTCTGACTAGATATTACATTAGGAATAGTACTGACCTATATAGTGAAAATTTATTTGATCCTTCTGTCAAGAATGGAGAAGTAGGTATCTCTGGGCCCCTCATTGATTTGGTGTTGACAAAAAATGTTTGTCCAGCCTGAGACCGAGTTAATTAGATTCAATAGTTAGTCAAGAAAAGTCACCACAAGTCGGTATCGGGAAACATAATCTTGAACTGTAACATCTCGATTTTAACACAAAATTTTATTTTTATTTATTCAAATATATCATAGTATAATTACATTATGCGGAAAACATGATGTGAATGCGTGTGTGTACAGTTGAACCTTGCCCTTCTCACGAATCAATGAGGTACGTGAAAATTTTTTATAATAAACTGGATAAGCACAAAACTTATCGAGTTCCCCAAAATACCAATACCACAATACATATACAATGCATACACATAATGACTCATGACCTCTTTTTCGATCCACCAATAAAACACATAATGACCTTCAACATAAAGCTGGTCCGCCCCTTAGCCTTCAGCGTAAAGCTGGTCCTCCCGAGTCTATTGGCCTTCAGTATGCAGCTGGTCCGCCCTCAACTTCCCATATAATATATTAATACATATATAGCAGATAAACAGTTCCACATAACAAGCAACTAACTAAGCTATTCTAGTGGCCTAATTGCATACTACATAACAACTACATCCTAACATGCAAAAGATACATATTAAAGTATACGATATAGTGAGAAAACTACTCAGACGATTAACAGTTTTCTTCTGACAATCCAACTGGCGGATAACACGCCTATTAATTATTAACTTATAATACTATAACTTATTAACAAAGTTCTCAATAACGTGAGGCGTGAGCTTGGTGGCAAGGTAGAAGTTAAGTCACGACGAGCCTTGGCGAGCCATGACGTTTTTCAAGGTGTGATTAATTAATATACTTAAAAATGATAAATCATATAATTATTGAATTTTATCAAATATTTCAAGTTTTTAGAAGTGTTATATTAATATTTAATATAAAAATTTAACAAAAACCCAATTATTTTAGGCCCAATTAGAAAAAACTAAAAAAAAAGAATAACAAAAAATCCAAAAACTTGCGTCATAATGCAATAATGCGCGTCTTGACACATTTATGGATAACCCTTGTTACAAAGAATACAATGAAGAAAAAAGCTTAAACGAAGTTTGTATAAAAAAATAATGAAAGTTCAAAGTTGGATCATTTTCATATCTTTTTGTAGCAAAATATATATATATATATATATATATATATATATATATATATATATATATATATATATATATATATATATATGACTTCCCGACTACAAAATTTAGAGTGCAATATGACCATTGATGTTACAAAAACACAATGAAAAATATTCAAATCATGAAACAGACTGGTATGAAAAACTTATAAAAGTTCAAAGTTAGAAGAAAAGAAATTAGATTTTTGCAGTCAACCTAAAATTTTTATAGTCAACGCCTCAAAAAATGACGTTGTGTTGGCCCAAATTGTGGCTATGTGAGACATTTTCGTGATATTCATGGCTATTTTCTACAAAATTATTTGAGAGATAGCTATTATGATTCTATTCTCTATATTCTATACTAAAAATAACAATCTACTTATAATTTGTTTCATTTTAGGCAAACCAATAACAAAAATAACAATCCACTTTTTTTACTTTTATTTGTTGAAGTATCTAAAACGAGAAAAAAGAACTATTAATTTACATACAACCAAAAGGAGCCGACTACTTTCACTACATCCATCTATATATACACACACAATCGGTAAACGCTGGACCTCCTTCTCTCTCTAACCCCAAACTCCCAAAAGGCACAGAGATCTATCAAACCCTCGCTGACCATTTTGTATCTCGATCAGGGATGCTTTTTACCCAAATCAGGCTTCACTTGTAATACATCTGTTCTTTCGATTTCTGGTAAGACTGTTTTTTCATATGTATTTATTCATTTCTGTAATTTTACTGTTTTTGTTTTTCGTTTCTTTCTATCCTATCCGTTTCCATTGATTCCTTGTTTATTCGTATCGATCTCGATCCTTGTGGATAATCTGGGGTAATTCTTGTTGAATCGGATCTGGGATTTTTGAATTTTGGTTTATTGATGTGTACAATTCAAATCTCGTCAAGCCTACGATCTTAAAATGGTTTTTGAATTCTCATATCTGTATCTGGTTTAGAATTCCGATTAATCTCGATGAATGGACGCGAGTGAACTCTTGTTTCTTTTGATTGATTGTTTTCGATGATTTATGACCTATATGTATCCTGATTCCGGATCTTGTCTTTTCGGGGACGATTCACTTGATTGATTGTCACTAATAAATGTTTAATCAGCACCTCTATTTCATACGATGAAGAACAAGAAAAATCGTCTTGGATGCGCCTTTAAACTGATTTACGAATTGAAGTTTATTTAGCAAACAACCGGTTATAATCCAAATTTTTTTATTACAATCAGATTTCGAGAATCAATTTCGTTGTAATGTTACCGATCATTAAGATAACTGTAAAATGAACTAACTTTTCTTAGATTCAAGCGCCCGATTTTCACAAACTTGAATCAAAAGGGTGTTATCTTATCTATTTTGACTGATTCCTTTCTTCTTATTTCATCAGGGTTTTCAAGTTTCAAGGGTTATTCAAGTTATCATATCTTGAAGAAATCATGGGTATCGATGGTGAGTCTGATTTGGTCCATGTGTCTGTTGAGAATGGGAAGAAAGAGAGCAGTATCAATGGAAATGTTGCTGAAAATGAATCTGATTCTGTTCGAGTAGAAAAAACACCCGAAATCAGCTTTCCAAACAATGCAGTTGATGAATGGCCTGAAGCAAAAAAGTTTCATTCAGTTTATTTTGTTAAATTCCGAACAGTTGAAGACCAAAACCTGAAAGCAAAACTCGATCAGGCTGATAAGGAGCTTAGAAAGCTTAATCAGGCCCGTGATCCCATCACTGAAAAGCTAAGGGCAAAAAGGGTAATAAAGAAAAAGTTAATCTTTATTAATCTTTGACCTTACTTATTGTGTAAATGATTGTCTTACTATTTTCTTGACTTTTGTAGACTGAAAGAGCACAAGTGATAGGCCAATTGAAGGCATTAGTTGAAGAGAAAAACCAATTTAGGTCAATCATGGATGAGAAAAGGAAAGAAATTGAACCTCTACAACAAGCATTGGGTAAGTTAAGGGGTCCAAGAGATGCCAATAGAGACAATAGAAGTTTCATTTGCTCATCTGAAGCCGAGCTTAATGAAGTTGTAAGTCTTGTTTTTAAGATATAGTTAAAGAATTAAATTCTTGAAAGTTGTTTTCTTGTTTAATAATGTTGTTCTTTTTTTTGGTTGTTTTTTGTGTAGATTAAGAGTATGCAATATCGCATTCAACATGAAAGTATTACTCTAACTGAAGAAAAACAAATCATTAGAGAAATCAAACAACTTGAAGGGACAAGAGATAAAGTTATTGCCAATGCTGCTATGAGGGCTGAAGTTCAGAAATCTGTTGGTGAAAAAGATGCCATTCAAGACCAGGTCAAAGTAAGTCAAACCATTGTTTATAAAAATGACGCCATAGTAAAAAAGAAACAAACTTTATTAATCTTTATTAATCTTTCTTTGTTTTTTTAGCTTATTGGTGTTGATCTTGATGGGGTCCGCAAAGATCAACAAGCTATAAAGGCAAAAGTGAAGACACTTGAGGCTGAAAAAGAAGCCATAAATGGTGTGATTGCATCTCTAGAGGAGGAGTTGCATGCGGTTGTTGAGAAAAGGGACAAAGTCTATGACAAGATTCGTGAGTTGAGGAATAAACGTGAAGAAGGGGTAATCTGATCTTTTTGGTTATGGATATATAATATATTTTGTGTTTTGTGACATTGTTTGATCGTTTCTTGGGTTTTGTTTTGTTTTGTTTTTTTTTTGTTTTTCAGAATACTTGTTTTTACCAGAACCGAACTCTCTTGAATGATGCGAGAAGGCTGGCGGCGGAAAAAGACGTCAACGCCCTTAAAGAGCTTTCCACCTCGGAGGTGGACAAGTTTATGTTACAATGGAATGGGAGTAAAGCGTTTAGAGAAGATTATGAGAAAAGAATATTACAATCGCTTGATATTCGACAACTAAGCAAAGATGGGCGTATGAGGAATCCCGGAGAGAAGCCGTTGATTGCACCGGAATCACCGATTCCGGTTCCGGAGGCGGAGATTGTAGCAAAGCCGAAGGCGAAGCAACCGAAGGAAGATCCTGTTCCTCTGCCAACTCCGACGCCAGTTGAGAAAGAAAAAGATGATAAAGCCCAGAAAGAGGGGAATGCGAATGGTGTTGTGAAGGGTAAAAAGGGAAAAGTGGAAGAAAAAGAAGAGGAGGAGGAGGAGGAAGTTTTTAGGGTGGAGAAGAAACCGGAAGTGAAAGAAGTTGATGAGTCGAAATTGAAGGAATTGAAGAGAGAGGAGGAGATTGCAAAAGCAAAACAAGCTTTGGAAAGAAAGAAGAAGCTTGCGGAAAAAGCGGCGTTCAAAGCCAAAAAGAAAGCTGAGAAGGAAGCCGAGAAGAAGCTCAAGGTATGGAATGGAATCATTGATTCCGTTGGAATGAAAAAAAACTTTTTGTTTTTGTCGGATAGAATTGTACTAACCATTTTCTTGGTTTTCACTCCATACCCAAATGATTTTTTTTCAATACATCATGGAATGGAATCACAGATTCCATGGAATGGTTCATTCTGTTGGAAAGACAAAATTGCTGTTAGTTTTGTCAGATGGAATGGAACAAAAAAGTTGTTCCATTTTGTCAATTTTCACGCCTAAAACACTAGTGTTTTTTTTTCCCATTCCATCATGGAATGTAATGACTCATTCCATTACCCTGTTTGTGGTAATCACTCATTCCAATAATGAGGTTTGTGTGATTTGTTACAGGATAAGGAGAAGAAGGAGAAGAAGAAGATGCAGGCGTCTACACCAGCTGCAGAGGCGGAGGAAGCGGTGGCGGAAGAGGCGGCAGAGGCACCAGAGGAAGAAAAGGCGACTGAAACGGTCAAGATTCCAGTGAAGTCCAAAGAGCGGAAAGAGAATAATACAAAAATAAGAAGCAGAAGCATGAGGGGAAAAGGGCCGGAATCGATCTCAAAAGTGATACTTAAACGTAAGAAGTCAAACAACTACATGTATTATTATGCTGCTGCTGCTTCTGCGATTGTTGTTGTGCTTTTAGCAGTTGGGTATAAGTTTTATGCGTAGACAACGGAATCGGAGGAATGGGCCGGAATCGGAATCGGAATTGATCTTGAAAGTAATGTCGTTTTTTTTTAGTTTTGGATTCGTTTTTTCTTTTGTTTTCTTTTATATTTTGTATTTGAAGTTTGAGGACTTGATATATGGTTTAGAAAGAGGTAGTTGGAAACATGTACTTGAGAAGTAGAACTTGTTTTTTTTGGGTTAGTGTAATTTTGACATTTTGGTTTTTTTGATAAGAAACATGATGATAATGTTATGTGATATAAGTGGTTGTTATTGTTATTATTTTATTAGCTGATGATTAGGAGACAAAATATCCGAAACAATTTTTATTAACTAGTTATCAAGTGAGTTTTCTACCAAGGATAGTACTTCTAAAGAAATTAACAAAGTATTGTAGTTCCAATTTTATTTATAAATAAAAGCATGGTAAAAACTAAAAAGGTTTTCTTATATATCCAACTCTTTTAAAATAAATCAAAAAACCAAATAGACCCGATTCTTTAGAGGGTGTTTGAAATTTAATTTTAAAAAAAAAACTTATTAATTTATTGAGCTTTTGAAAAGTCATTTTGAAAAGTCATTAAGTCAAAAAAATTGTTTGACAATATGAAAATGATTTCTAAAATAACTTTTCATTAAACCCTTAAAAGATATTTTAATAAGTTAGAATATCTAACTTTTTCAAAACCTCTTATAACTTTATAGGTTATAAAAGCTAAAATACCATTTAAAAGATATATAAGTTAAGGCAAACATTTTAAAAAAAATAACTTATTGAACTTTTTTTATCACAAAAGTTAATCCAAATATTTTTAAAAAAAGACTTATTAACTTGTTGATTTATGGTTGTAAATTTAAATAAAAGTCTTTTCAAAATGTAATTCCAAATACCCTCTTAAAAAAGAAGGGTGTATAGTTCATTTTTATAACAAAATGATGAGTGCTCGGCGATTTAAAAAGAAAAATAGAGAAGACGTCAAGACGATGGAGATACTCTTACTTTTATTTCACCTTTATCTAATTTAAAAATAAAGAAATAAGGGTCCACATCTATTTACCATCCTTTGAAAAATATTTTTCAAAATGCCATATACTAGTAAATATATATATTTTTTATGCTTATCATGTTTCAGTAAAAGACTCCTCATGGATGCTGCCCAAAAAATTTCTTATATTCCAACCTAGTGTAAGGTTACCTAAAATTTGTATAAATGTGTCGAGCATATTGTTTGGTCTCCACATGGGAGAAATGTCTTTAGCTGATTCAAGAAACCACTATAAAAGTCTTTAGTGTGGCTACTATTTATAAGTATAATGGATATAAAGAAATAAAGAAAGAGTTGCATTATGTTGGTTTAAGATCACAACCAATCCTCTTCCACTATCTAGGCCAAGATCTTCATTTAAGAGTTTCAAGAACCAAGTCAGTTAGACTTGTTTCTAGATCAATAACAATCTATGTTATTGGGTATACATGGTTATTTGCATCTCTCCCTATTGTATTTAACAATTCTCCATTTACCTCACCTTTGAGATATTTGCATATTGGTCACGTAACTTACATTCGATTAACTATTAGGCCTATTTTTGGCCATACAAAATTGACATATAGATACCATACAGTTGATTTTTTTTATCTCCCTTATTTTTAACCTTGGGCTTGTTGGCAATTTTTGTCACTTAGGTAAAACAAGAGTCCCAAATTTAAACATTCTTTAACGTTTATAAGTGTCAATTATATCCGATTTGGAATGATCTTTCTTTGTAGATCCAAGTTTCATACAATCTAAATGTGCATAAGCTCACCCCTTCCCCGTTTCACATCTTGCTATAATTCTTGTATTGTCACACACTCACACTTCTCAAAGTAAAGGTGATAACCATTCGAAACTGCACAATTTATTAGGTAGAATATGTTGCGCAGGGAACTCAAAGATGTCAACAACCATTAGTTTCAACTTGTTCAGTTGGTGGTTGGATCATGAATCCTATATTTGGTACTACTCATTTGCCCCTCATTTCTTTCTCATTTTTCCCATCATTAGCATGGTAAACTTGAGCTCATATTTCATCTCTCATATCTCTCATAAGCATTATGTAAATTATCATCGCTCAATAAAATTTGAGAAAAAGGTGTCCTTACACTTATCTTGTGTTGTACTAGTAATGAATTCTTCCTCTAGTTCATGATCCATGCAAAATGCCATGTAGCTCTAAGCCACTTTGTTTAATTCGGAAAAAAGGTTCGTTTAATCGAGCAAATGGGTCAATCATATCGTCATCTGCCGAACCCATTATTGATAAATATGCAATGTTACACAGCCATTGTGCCAAAGAATGTAAATTACACATTTAAGAAACCAAGACCGAAGCTAAATAACTAAAATGACATTGATATGGCACCAAAGAAACTTACTTTGTCAATATATATCTTCACGTAACTACTTTAAATACCCAAAAAGAAAATTCTGATTAAACAAGCTTAATCTTACTGCTGGAGGATCGTCCCCGGACATCCCAAACAGAAGGATAGAAAGGAACAATATAATGGAAGGATAGAAATGAATGATAAAATGGCTGGATAGAAAGGACGAAATGATAGAAATGATGGAAGGATTAAAAAGTAGAATTTTCTAAATAAGGCATGAATAATAGATAAAGATTTGGCAATAACACAACATCTAATATTCTATTAGTAGACTAGTATACTAGCTAATATAATATTGTTGTGGCCATTCCTTCACATCCTATAAATAGCAATATTTTCCAAGCACTCCAAGTGGTAAGTGGTCTTCACTTGCTTCAATCTCTCTTATGGAGACATCATTGTCTCCACACAGGCGTCTCCACCTCGCTAGCTGGAGTTGGTTATCTTTACACTGGCAATCTAACTTGATCGTCAGAGCTTTCTCCCAAGGCATAGTTCCTGGGACAAGCCTAACAATATTCTTTCTTGATATTGCTCAGGTTTCATAGTCGGGATCCAACCACGACGCACACCTAACAGACATACGAGCTAGATGCAACACCCGAATAACCGATTATTGAACCCGAAGTGTCATCACTTAACTGTTTGCTTACTCTTAAACTCTCTTTTCATTATGATTGTTCTCAATGTATAACGGATGTAAGCGGGAGACATGTTAACACCATTAAGGGTTTAACGACTATGTTGGAAGCTACGTAAGAATAAGTAACCAACTAAGCTTAGGGTAACCTAATAAATGCCAATAATGGAAAAAAGCTTCTTAACTTTTGTTCTTTTCCACACAAAAAATCGTACTTGGGTTAAAAACGTTAAAGTTTGTCAAACTTAAGGGCTTTTATGGCATTATCCTTTTAATCATCCAACATAAATGTCTCTTCTATGTTCTTCAAACTTAAAGACCCTAAAATACTAGTATCATTATGTATTTGTATCGACGATTACATTTTAAATGAGAAAAACATCACAAATGACAAAGAAGTGCATTTTAGTGGCTCCAAACAATCAAAATCAATATATTTCTAAGAACAACGAAATCAATAAAAAAAGATGAGATAGCACTCGTTTGATCATAGAACTTATTCGAAGTTACAAACTCCAAAACCATACCGACAAAACTCAAACCGAAAAATCGAAAACCTAACCGAGTAGGATTAAATTTTTATAAAAACCAATATTATTGGTTCATTCAGTTTTTTATTATAAACTCACCATCAAAGCCGAACCGATCCATGAGGTTAAAATCCGGTCCACCGTATATATTATTTGATATTTATTATATTTTAAATATTATTTCTATTTACTATACATATTTTATGTTTAAGAAAAATGAAAATACTCTAGGTAGGTATTAGTTAATAGTTATTTTAGTATTTAAGTTGGATTCAATACCATTTATCTTTTATAACAACGAACTTTCAGTGAGTTTGAACCCAAAAACCCAATAAACCATGAACACACAAATCCATGAGTTCAAACCGAAAACTCACAATCTTACAAAAACCAACCCCCATGTGTTTTGAAACCGAAAAAATAAACTTTTATGGTTTAAGTTCGGTTTTAACAAAAACCGACCCATATTCGTCTCTAGGTTGAGAGATATACTCATCACAACCTAGAAACAAACTCTAGGTTGTGAGGTATACTCAAACCACCTAAACACATATTTTTTCATCATAGGCAGAGGAAGAAAATATCATGATAAGAATGTAGACATAAGAGAAATAATGACATGTAAACAATAAAGGGAAAACCTTAGAAAAACCCAACACATTTTCATCAAATCCTTAAAAAACCACTATATTATCTTTTTTGTATGTTAAAACCCTTATATTTATTAAAATGTCTAATTTAAGGCTTTGAGTTTGGTAAACCCTATATTGCAAAAAATGCAAGGTAATCGATTTTTAACACTTTGATGGTTATAATCCATTAGATTAAAAATTTTTCAAAAAGTATAAGAGTTTTGATGTACTAAAAAAATAATATAGCGTTTTTTTATTGTTTAGATGAAAATAGATTAGGTTTTTCTAAAAAAAAAAGACTTAAATAAGACTTTTAGAAAATATAAGAGTTTTAGTGCACTTGAAAAATAATATAGTGTTTTTTTTTAACATTAGATGAAAATTTGTTGAGTTTTTATGAAGTTTTTCAATAATAAAAAAAATAATAAAAGAAAAATGAAATGTTAAAAAAAAAGTTTCCAGAAAATTGAGGCTAAAACTGAAAATTTAGAAGACCATCTTTTTAATTATCTTTTGGTTATCGAATCCAAGATTCAAGAGCCAAACTTTACGAGTGGCAGCAAACACGAATTCAAGATAATAACGGTTCATTCGATCTCAAACGGGCACGATAAGCAAGATTCCGGCAGAAGGCAGATACGACGGCCATGGTATCAATGAGCTTCGCCGCCGCGGCACATCCGTTTCTGAAAAGAGCCGTTCAAATAATCCCTAGCCCTAATTTCACACTCCTCAACCATAAGTTTCCTCCCTCTTTATTCCATGCTCCTTTGACTTCTTCAGGTTTCATAATAATTCTCATATCCCTTCTCAAAATTTAGCAATTGGTGTCACGATTTGTCCAATTTACTTGCTTTCTTCTTAATTTTATGTTAATTAGTCATGGGTTTAATGTATACGTACTGAAACTTATTAATTGATCACCCTTTGACTTTGAAAGTCCAACATTTCACCATTTAACTTCAAAATTACATGCAAATTCCGGAAGTTTTCTTGAAAACAATTCTAGCTACTTACTGTTTACAACAGGAACTCAAAATATTGATACAATTGCTGTTAAATGTGTAACAACACCTATAAAGTTTGCATTTTAGAAATACTAGATTTGACCTCAGAAAGGTCAAACCCCTAAATCTTGATTCCTTTTGTATTTCAACTTAGGGACTATTGGTATATGTCATGTGGCACAAGCTATAAAGGGTGACTCTGAGTTTTTACTGAAGGGAGTTGTAAATGAAGAAGTGAAGCATATATTTGAAATGGTAACTATGCATGACAAGGGGTAAAAGGGTAATTTTGCTTTTAAAGCTTCCCGAAACACGAAAAAAAATGCCATTTCTTGATTCTTATAGATTCAAATTTCGGTTTGTATTAGGCAAAACGGGCATCATTAAGGCGTGAAGTTCTTTATACAAATTTTCTCACACCACCCGTGTTAAAGGAGTCGATGGTAATTTTAGAAAAGTTAGCAGATGTTAAGGTTTTCTCTCAAGGTGGTTACCCGGAGGCTGAACGTTGTCGGCTGTCAGTTGGGCATCCGGAAGCTTTGACAACCGAGCCTGACATTGTGGCGGCGATAAGGTGGTTCAGGGTTATTTTTGTCTTTTTTACATTTTAGATTCAAATTTTGGGTTTAAAGATCTTTGATATATTGATTTCTTTTTGTTATTTTTTTTTCAGTATTTCGGGGAACTTTGGGTTTCAACCTTGTTCCCATGGTGACTTTCTTGGCTCTATTCTTGGCACGGGGATTGTAAGAGATAAAGTAGGGGACATTCTTTTGCAGGTAATATTAGAAAAACAGATAAAAACAATAAAGCTGACAGTAAAAAGATACAAACAGGAAAGCTTTTACCGACAGTAAAAAGATACAACAATAAAGCTGACAGTAAAAAGATACAAACAGTAAAGCTTTTACTGACAGTAAAAAGATACAAACAATAAAACTGACATTAAAAAGATACAAACAGTAAAGCTTTTACTTACAGTAAAAAGATACAAACAATAAAACTGACAGTAAAAAGATACAAACAGTAAAGCTTTTACTTACAGTAAAAAGATACAAACAATAAAACTGACATTAAAAAGATACAACAATAAAGCTGATAGTAAAAAGATACAGAAAGTAAAGCTGACAGTAAAAAGATACAGACAATAAAACTGACAGTAAAAAGATACAAACAATAAAGCTGACAGTAAAAAGATACAAACAATAAAGCTGACAGTAAAAAGATACAAACAATAAAGCTAACAGTAAAAAGATTGAAAACAATAAAGCTGAAAGTAAAAAGGAGAAAAACACACAAGGTCAATATTGTACTCTACAATAATTAAAAAATAAACTAGGACCTATACTACTCCACTGCCCTTATTATACTGTATAAGTTTAATTTGCATATACACGAAAAACAAAAAGTGAAGATGAAAAAAAAGAAAAATACATATAATTTGTTGAAAACCATTTGTTTTTTTTGTTTGGTTGTAGGGTGAAAAAGGAGCTCATGTGCTTGTTGTTCAGGAATTAGTTGACTTCCTTACCATGTCACTCGATAAGGTAACAAAGGAATGGACTTTGGTCAATTTATATTTTAGAGAATGTACTTTGAAAGTCAACATTTAAGGGAATAAGTTATAAGTTTATAATCAAATAAGGGTCAATTTCACATAAATTTTATCTATGGTAGGTTGGGAATGTACCCGTTACATGTAAGAAGATGCCATTGATTGCCCTTGAATATGAACCACCAAGGTCATTAACAAAAATAGTATTTTTCTATTTTTATTTTTTAAAATTTTTTGGGTAATAAACTTGACATAAAACTCGATCTTTTTTGTAGGACTAAAACGTTCAAAACAGTAGAAGCTTCTATGAGGATTGATGCCATAGCAAGTGCAGGATTCAAGATTTCAAGATCAAAATTAGTTGCCTTGATTAGGTACAACACTTATGACAATTTTCTTAATATTATTTGAAAAAAATCAATTTTTTTTTTTGCATTAATTTTGGAGCCTTGTGTTTCAGTGATGGGGATGTGCGTGTGAATTGGGTGACTGTGTCGAAGAATAATACAACTATAAGAAGTGGAGACATGATATCTGTAAGTGGGAAAGGAAGACTAAAGGTTAGATAACACAAAACTGTCTTTTTCCTACTAAATGTTGTCTGGATTAATGATATTTTAAAAGACAATGATGAAAAACTTGAGGAAATGGAAAGAAAAATAAGTTGTTTTTTCTGTATTAGGTCAAAAAAGAAACACATGTATATGTTTATTAAATAAAAAAGAAACAACACATATTTTTTTGGTTTTGTTAAATATCACCTTGGTGTTTTGCATTTGGACAGATAGGAGAAGTGAATGAAACCAAGAAGGGAAAGTTTGCAGTTGAGCTCATACGATTTCTATGATCTTCATAGTGATGATGCTTGATCGATATTTTGAAAGTTGAAACTTAAAATGGGTGAAATGTGGGCATTCCTTTAAACTCAAACGGGTGTTTTGGAAAATATGCAAACTCAATGGGCTAGTTTCACATGCTTGTATAGTTGCTCTAAGGTTGTATTGAATTTGACTATTGAGTATTGAGATATGTATGTGCTTCTTAACGGGTTAATTATTAAAAAGTTTCAAAGTTTTTAGGCCATTTTCGGTTTTTCCCTATATATTTATTTGAATTATTAAAAAAAAATGGCAATGAATGCTAATCGGTTACCTACCAAGGTTTTGTATTATTTGGTTGATAAACCCCTTTTAAGACACTTATCTTTTACTTTTAGAGTTTTACTAAGATATATCAATATCAAATAGAATGTTTATAACTATATAGATTTTTTAAGCGTAATTCCTTAAAAAATGAATACAATATTATAATAATCAAAATAAAAATAAGATGATATATACACACAAATAAATATAAGTTGAAAAACAATACATATAGAAATGGGCTTTTTAGGCCCACTTACTATCTTTATTATAGGGTAATTACACCAATCGTCCCTCGTGTACATGTCAGAAAGCATGTTTAGTCCCTATTTTCAAAAATTAACTTGGATCGTCCCTCGTTTGCATAAAACTTGTACTTTTCGTCCCTGATATACATTTTTGTTGCGCATCTAGTCCTTGACAGATCTAAAATGACGATAATGCCCTTTTTCTATTTCTTTTCCAATTAATTTAATGTTATTATTATTATTTTTAATTAAAAAAGAAATATTCACCACCACTCCTCCCCCTTCACTTACCCAACCCATCTATCCACTTTAGTGTGTTGTTGGTGCTCATCATCTGGTGGTCGTCTTCTCCGGCAATAATTTTAGTTTCACTTTCAAAATCGAACCCCATAACTTAAGCTACACACAACCGTAAAGATCCCATATGGTTTTCTGATACTGAGATCTTGCGGATATCGCCGCTGTTGCTGCCTAGGGTTTTACTTCTAATGCTTGATGAACCTTCTTGCTCCGATTCTAGCCTCCATCGCCATCACAGGTAGAGGATCTCGAGGAGAGGAGAAAGAATCTCCCCTGAAATCTTACTTACGTCTAGCAAGAGATGGAGAACGAACAAGTAGTCCAAGACGTTGCTGTCAATGCGTTGATTTCTTCATCTCCATCACCAGTTTCTTCTGCTTGGATTTTGATATCAAAGAGTGCTTCGGATAATGCTAATAGCTACTTTAGAGAACCGCCATAATTTGTTTTGGTCGCCGCTTCGTCGCCTCAAGTCTTTTGTTCATACCTAAAATCTCCTCTTCTTGTGGTTTCTGCTCCTGTTTTAACCTCTCAAACTCCATTGTCATCTCTAAAAATCAAGCTACAGATATGGTTTAAAATGGGTTTCAGAAGGGAAGTTTGTGAAGAAGAGCTATGGTGGTGATGGCATCGACCAGTGGCGGTGTTAATGTTGACCGGTGGTGATGTTCTTTACCGATGTTAGTGGTAGGATCAATATAGAGGAAGAAGGGGTGAGAAAGAGGGAGACGAGCTGGGGAAGGGAAAGGGAGGGATTGGGGGTGTAGATATTTATTTTATTTTTCTTTTTTTCAATCTAAAAATGATAAATAAACAAAATAAAATTGAAAAAGAAAATTTTAAGAGCAAAATAGTCATTTTATGTCAATAGGGACTATGCATGCAAGAAAAAACAAAACAAGGGACCGTCCGAGTTAATTTTAGAAAATAAGGACTAAAGATGCGTTTTGACATATGCATGAGGACCGTGTAATTTACCCTTTATTATACAACGGCTATCATGTCCCAAATTCAAACAATTCAAACTGAATCCAACTCTCCCTCCCGCTCTCTGCATTCTGCAATGGCGACCTCCAATGGCTTCCTAACAACGCCAACCAAAACCACACTAAACGATAAAAATTCTTCTTCATCTGTTTCAAGGAAGCACCACCGTTCTCACCAGAAAACCACCGAATCGTCGTCTTCCTTCAAGGCACGATTCGAAGCCTACAATCGCCTTCAAGCTGCCGCAGTTGCATTTGGAGAAAAGCTTCCAATTCCTGAGATTGTAGCCATTGGAGGTCAGTCTGATGGAAAGAGCTCGCTTCTCGAAGCACTTCTGGGATTCCGATTTAACGTTCGCGAGGTCGAAATGGGTACCCGTAGACCTCTCATACTTCAGATGGTTCATGATCCTACTGCTCTCGATCCTAGGTGTCGATTTCAGGTCAGTTCCAGTTTCCCCCAATTGCATATGATCGTGTGTTAAGCATAAAGTTAATTTGTAGTTAGGGTTTATGATTGAATGTTAGGTCAAATTGGAGCATTTTTCTTTGAAACAGCTTCTATATGCTTGTAACTTCAGTTATTTCTTGTTTGATTCTCAAATTTCACTTTAAACAACAGGAAGAGGATTCTGAGGAATATGGCACTCCTCTCATGTCAGCATCTGCAGTTGCAGACACCATCAAATCAAGAACAGATACACTCTTGAAGAAGACTAAAACTGCAGTCTCTCCTAAGCCAATTGTGATGCGAGCTGAATATGCCCATTGCCCTAATCTCACAATTATCGACACTCCTGGATTTGTTCTCAAGGTAATACACATATAATATAATCACAAGTTTTTGAATCAACATCAACATCAACATTTATATGCATGTTTATGATCCTTATAACTTAAGAAACTGTAATTGTTAGGCCAAAAAAGGTGAACCAGAGAGCACACCAGAAGAAATCCTATCAATGGTCAAGTCATTAGCTACCCCACCACACAGAATCCTTGTATTCCTTCAACAAAGTAGTGTGGAATGGTGCTCATCTTTATGGCTTGATGCCATTCGTGAAATTGATCCAACTTTTCGAAGAACTGTAATTGTTGTCTCCAAATTTGATAATCGCCTCAGGGTATATACACAAACATTCAAAATCCTTCTAAGCTAATCTATAATCTATATACCAATTATACAGATTTAAAAAATGTAATAATTCTTGTAGGAATTCACTGAAAGATGGGAAGTGGATAGCTACTTAAGTGCAAGTGGCTACCTTGGAGAAAATACACGCCCCTTTTTTGTAGCTCTACCAAAAGACAAATCAACAGTTTCAAATGAAGAATTTCGCCACCAAATATCCCAAGTGGATCTTGATGTATTACACCATTTACAAAACTCTGTGAAAGGTGGATTTGATGAAGAAAAATATAAATCCCAAATTGGGTTTTCATGTCTTAAAGATTACCTTGAATCTGAGCTTCAAAAGAGATATAAAGAAGCTGCTCCAGCAACTTTGGCATTGCTTCAACAACGTTGCAGTGAAGTCACTACTGAATTAAACTCCATGGATTCCAAAATTCAAGCTACTTCAGATGTTGCTCACCTTCGTAGATCATCAATGTTGTTTGCATCTTCTATCTGCAACCATTTGGTATAAAGTTGTTCTTCATTAACTTTCAACTTGTATAGCTAGTATCTGCTTCCTCCTTTTTGCTAGTATCCATACAATTTATCTGCTTTATTGCTAGTATCTGCTTTCACTGTTTCTGTATCCATACAATATTTATCTGCTTTCATTGTTTCTGTATCTAATTCAATATTTATCTGCTTTATTGCTAGTATCTGCTTTCACTGTTTTTGTATCCATACAATATTTATCTGCTTTATTGATAGTATCCGCTTTCACTTTTTATTTATCTGCTTTATTGCTAGTATCTGCTTATACAATATTTATCTGTTTTCACTGTTTCTATATCCATACAATAGTTATCTGCTTTATTGCTAGTATCTGCTTTCACTGTTTCTGTATCTCCATATAATAGTTATCTGCTTTATTACTAGTATCTGCTTTCACCGTTTTTGTATCAATACAATATTTATCTGCTTCATTGCTAGTATCTGCTTTCACTGTTTTTGTATCCATACAATATTTATCTGCTTTATTGCTAGTATCTGCTTTCACTGTTTCTGTATCTCCATATAATAGTTATCTGCTTTATTACTAGTATCTGCTTTCACGGATTTTGTATCAATACAATATTTATCTGCTTTATTGCTAGTATCTGCTTTCACTGTTTTTGTATCCATACAATATTTATCTGTTTTATTGCTAGTATCTGCTTTCACTGTTTCTGTATCTCCATATTATAGTTATCTGCTTTATTGCTAGTATCTGCTTTCACCGTTTTTGTATCAATAGTTCAATACAATATTTATCTGCTTTATTGCTAGTATCTGCTTTCACTGTTTTTGTATCTATACAATATTTATCTGCTTTCACTGTTTCTGTATCCATACAATATTTATCCGCTTTATTGCTAGTATCTGCATTCACTGTTTTTGTATCTTTACAATATTTATCCCGCTTTATTGTTAGTATTTGCTTTCATTGTTTCTATATCCATGCAGTATTTACCTATTTACCCTTGGGTAGAGGTTGCCTACATCTTACCTCCCTCTTAACCCCCAATATGGTATTGTTATTGTATATATCTTGATTGAATACATGTTGGATGAAGGGATCACTAATAGATGGAGCAGCGGATCCTGACCCAGAGCAATGGGGAAAAACAACAGAAGAGGAAAGATCAGAAAGTGGAATTGGAAGTTGGCCTGGTGTTTCAACTTCTTTAAAGCCACCTAATGCTACCCTTCGCCTTTATGGTGGTGCTGCTTTTGAAAGAGTTATGCATGAGTTTCGTTGTGCTACATATTCAATCGAATGCCCTCCTGTTTCAAGAGAGAAGGTAGCAAAAAAAAAAAACTAAAATTCACTTAAAGACGAGTGATTTTTTTTTTTTTAGATAATATGATTTTGAATGTGTTTTGATAGGTGGCGAATATAATACTTGCTCATGCGGGTAGAGGCGGCGGGAGAGGGATTGTGGAGGCGGCTGCTGAGATTGCCCGGGCAGCTGCCCGATCTTGGCTTGCCCCAATGCTTGATACTTCTTGTGAACGACTTGCTTTTGTGTTGAGAAACCTCTTTGATCTTGCCATTGAGAGAAATCACCTCTCCCATGCTAATTGTAAGCTCCTTAATTTTATGGTTTAGGGTTTAGGGTTGGTTGGGTTGAGATAGACAGATTTGAAAATTTCTCAACCCAACCCAACTCAACCTGTTTATATTAAACAATATAAACAGGTTGAAAATTTCAACCCAGCCCAACCTGTTAGATAAACATCTAACAGCTTGAAAATTTCACATGATACTTTTGAGGCATGACTATCCACGTCAGAAAAAAAGACTATGACTGTGAGTGTGACTGTTTTTTTTTGTTGACAGATGCAAAAAAGATTGTGGATATGGAGGGATACGTAGGATTTCACGCCGCTTTAAGACACTCGTACAATTCTTTCATACACAATCTTTCAAAAGAATGCAAACAACTTGTTCGCCATCACCTCGATTCAGTCACAAGCTCATATTCTCAAATATGTTATGAAACCGATTCCATTACTCCATACAGATATCAACATTCAACATTATTTCTTGAATTATCAGAACATAAAACGAAAACATCTAGAAAAGAAAACATACCCAATAAGGACATGACACCTGGCAAACTTGTGGACCCACGTGAAGCTTACATGACTATCCCTGAAACCCCTTCGCCTGACCAACCATCTGATGATAATTTTGTCATTAAAAAAGAAAATGACATTTATAAAAGGCCTTCAAGGATTCATGGTAACAATAATAATTTGAGATCGGGTTGTTCGTATTCTGAGATTTGTTTATCCGCTTCACAACATTTTGCACGAATTCGTGAAGTTTTGATTGAGCGAAGTGTGACATCAGCGTTGAATTCTGGTTTTTTAACCCCATGGTATGTTTCTAATGTTTTTTTTTTTTTTTTTTTTTACATATGAAACTTAAAAACTTTTTTCGATATTTGTAGCTTCTAATGCTATTCTAGATGTTTTTATTATAGACTTGATTTTTTTTCCCCATGTGGGTAGCCATAAATATCATGTTTTTATTTGATATACATCAAAAACTTGAAAACTTTATTCATATACTATCACATAATGCATAGCTTTACAGCTTTTAATGCTTTCATATGTTACCTTTATGTAGGTAGCCATAAATACAATGTTCTTTTTTTCAACATTTTCATCAAAAACATTAAAACTTTCTTCGATGTTATTGTTTGTTGCTTCTATATACTTGTTTTTATAAGTATCATGTTTTTATCCTATATAAATGTCATGTTTTTATAAATTTTTTTTTTCATGTGGATAGTCGCGAAAGGCTAATGGTGGCACTTGGATTGGATTTATTCGCTGTAAATGATGAAAAATTTATGGATATGTTTGTAGCCCCGGGAGCAATTGATGTACTACAAAATGAACGCGAGTCTCTTCAAAAACGTCAAAAGATATTGCACACTTGTTTGTCTGAATTCAAATCTATTGCTAGATCACTCTAAAATGGTTGATGTTTATGTAACAACTGATATAAATAAATAAATACACATTTATAACAGCTTTTTTTGGCTCTCTAATCTAGATAATATCAAACAAATATTTTTTTAGTTTTCTCATCTCAAGGAATGTTCCATTAAGACTTTTGATCGTTAAGCATTTAGGGTGTTTGGTAAATTTAAAATCAACATTTAAATACCTTCCGCTGAATCAACATTTTCATCATACGTAACGTTTTTTATTATTATTATTTTTATTTATTTATTTTATTTTAGTTTTTAAAAGTTCAAAAAATACTTTCCTTTTCTTAGATTCTTCTTTCTAAAATTCAAGGTTCTAAATAACGCAAGGCGTGTTTTGACGGCAAGGTTAAAGTTAAGCCATGACAAGCTTTGACAAGCCATGACGTTTTTCAAGGCGTGACTAATTTATATATATATTAAAAGAGATAAATCATATAATTATTGAATTTTATCAAGTATATCAAGTTTTTAGAAGTGTTATATTAGTATTTAATATAAAAAGTTAACAAAAACTCAATTATTTTAGGCCCCATAAAAAAAAAACAAAAAAAACTTGCGCCATAACGCGATAAGGTGCGCCTTGACACGTT